GGGTTTGGATAAGAAAAACATGGATTTGAATCCTAACCCAGGTGTGTGGGTGCCGTGCGTTCGTTACACGCAGCAGAACTAGGTCATTCGTGTACAAAATGAAGGCAGTGGCCCCTGCGCTGGGGTCCGTGTGAGGACTAAATGTGACAGTGTGACACAGTGCCTGCAGCCCAGTGGGAAGTCAGACAGGGTCAGGTCTGCCCCTCTCTGGGTCAAACAGCGTATCCTGGCAGTGCTCACCCAGTGGCCTTGGCAACTCTTAATTGACCGTGGTGCAAACAATTGATTCGAGTCATCAAGAAACACTGGATTAACCATGGATTGCTCAACTTGGGGCCTTGGTGAAGTCTAAAGATGTTCGCTGGAGGAGGGACGCATGACTCTGTTCTCGGTGCTCTGCCTCAGATCAGGCTGCCTCCAACGCCTCGTCCACACACGAGCTGGCTAAAGGCATCTGGCTCTGGGCTAACTGGGAGGGGCCAGGACCAATGAGTGGGTCAGGATAGATAAAGCCAGTAATTCTCACACTTGGACACTCGTACCTCAAGGGGATGTGGTGGTGTTCTGGGAATGTGCAAACCCACGGAATCAACAGAGCTTCAGTTTTAGTGAAAGGTGGGGGGGGGGCATTTTTATATTGAAACTAGCGTGACTATGTCTTGCACTCCAGTGCACACTGCCCACAAATTTTAAGATAAAAAGCATGGACTTCAGAGATGTTTCTTGCTCACAGTGACCCCCAGATCCTGGGGGATGGCTTCATTCTTCTCTGCCATTTGGGGCACATCAAGGGGATGTTGGTGAAGCACCCCTCCAGGGAGGCAGAGAGAGATGGGAGAAAGAAGGAGGTACAGCCAGGCCCGGGGTCACCTGCTGGAACGCTGGAGCAAGAAGGCAGGTATCCTCTTTTTGCGAGCCGTAGGTGCTCGGATGGTAGGCAGAGTCCCGAGCCAAAACCAGAGACAGCAGTGTGGCCCTAACCCACCAAATTACGCAGAGAAGGGCTCAGTTCCTAAAACTGAGGTATAAGGTCAGGGCCAGACTAATCAAATATATTAGATTTTAAAGTCCCCTATGCATTGGCCTAAAGCTTCTTACATTTTCCCAAGGACAGAACTGATCTCAGAGTTGGCTTTGTTTTGTTTTGTTTGGAGGGGGACACAGGGAGGGGTACTAAACTTATGTGAAGAACTGGGAGCCATTGTCGTTCCTCTCTGCCCAGACCCCTGGACAGAGCTCCTCCCACCTGGAGGAGCTGTAGGAACCAGACTTGGAAGTCCTCCCGAGTGGAGGGCCATGAGCAAGGGCTGAGGGGGCTGTCTGCTTGTTGATGGGCAGAGCCTGGGAGGACAAGAGCATGCACTGTTGGGATATGATGCTTTTTCTCTTTTTATTAATGGTTCGTTTGACATTTCTGGCATTATCTGTCTCCAAGTTATGCTGCAAACACGGTTTCTGTAGCACTTTGCTTTCCTTTCTTGCTGTGGTTTTTTCGGAGGAGAAAACACTGGGAGGCAGTGGCTGGCAGCCGCCCAGGAGGCCCCGCAATGCACAGTTTGTACATGGCAGAGCCAGTGGTCTCTGTGATCGCTCCTTTCCTCGCGCTAGCGTCCTGGGATTCTCTGAGCAGCATTTGGGTGGATGTACGGCCTTTTGGATTTTGCTGCTTCTGCTCTTTCATTTAACTCCTAGCCAGCATTTTGTGCCTATAAAACGCTTAACAAACATTGACTAATTATCCTTCATTAATCATTCATGCAACTAGTAGACCAGGGTCTTATCATTTCCTTCCAGAACAGGGATGTAATATCCTGTCCAGATCCCAAGTCACGTGCGGGGGGATGGGCCATCACGGCAGCGCTGGGACCCTCCCAAGCGCGCTGGGGGAGTGGGGCCGGAAGGTGGGCATGGGCTCTGTGAGGCTGCAGCCTCACTAGGCTGCCTTTTTGCTCTAATGAACAGGAAGGACAAGCCCCATCGCTGGCCAATGGCAGCTGAAAGGCAATAAGCTTTAATTACAGGCTTCTTCCTGGAAATTCACATGGACATAATAAGTCTGTTATCTTAACAGGCCCAGAGAGGTTGAATGCCTCAACTTTCTTATGCTTTTCTAAGCTGATCCTTTCGATCATCTGTGAAATGTAAATATAATAAAGACGTGGGCTTTCATTAGCTCCCCAGTGCTACAGGGACAGGCGTTCTGGGTCAGGAGGCAGCCCGTCTGTACGTTTATGGTTCAGAAACACACAGCAGCGCTGGTGAACGAGCTGTTGTAGGGGGAACGAGCTGTTGTAGGGGGAACAGCAGCAGCATGACCTGCAGAAAAGGTCACTGTGGTCTGGGGAGGGTGGGGAGTGGGGAAAGCTCCCTCCACTCCACTCCCAGAGGTCAGGGAGAGCCTGTGAGTAACCTAAAGCCTGTGTCCTGTGTGTGTGGGCTAATGAGTACATAAAGTTGGGGGTGAGAAATTCCTAGGATTACATTACGGGGGTTAGAACAGAAAGCAGAAAATTGTAAGGAGAGATGGTCTCTGTTTTCCTTACCTTACCATCTCTGTCTTTCTTGTTAGTGCCCAGACTCAAACTCTTACCTGCTGGCGTTCACACACTCCCCCCGAACACGTGTGCATATTAATGCCAGAGGGCTGTCCTGCCCGTTCGCTGCCATTTCTGCACCCCCACCCTGACAGGGCCCTTTTGCCATTTCTCTGTCCACCCCTAACCTGGGACTGTTTGTAATGCCAAAGCACTTACTCGATTCACAGTCACATCATTTGTTTGCTCTGTGTGATAATGAGTAAGTAAAGATATACTGACCATGTCCCTTCTCAAATGTTTGTTGCGACATCTCGTGAACAGCCTCTCCCCACATCTCCACACCCTCAGCCTCTCTCCACTCTGCTTCTCTCAGATCCTAGCTGTCTTTATCTTTTTGCTTGTCTATTAATTCATCCTCACTTCTCAGCTTTCTCCCTCTCATTATATAAGACGGAGAAAAGTGGGTCGTTGAATTGGCCATCTAATCGCTGTGGCCACACCTCAGTTACCAGAGAAGCCTGCTCTGCTCTGGCCCCGGCTCTGCACCCGTGGACAGGAGCTGTAATGGTCAGACTGGCTACACGGGGCCAGATCCGGGGTGTGTGCATACAGCTTCTTCTTCTCTTTTCTTCCTTACTATAAGCACAGATTGCCTCCGCTCCTCCTTTGTCCCCTCACCTATTATCCCTCCTTTCCCTTCATGTGCCTGTCATTCCTTCATTAAGAGATGTCACCCACATACACACACATATGTGCACAAACATGCACGCACATGCGCACACTCACAAACGTATGCAGACACATGAACAATGAGGGGTTTTGTGGGGCATTTGGACACAGTGACCCCAAAGAGGTCCTTGGGGGCAAGGCCACACAGAGTTTACAGTCAGAAAGCGAGGTCTTACCTAAGGCTGAGGCTCTTCCCGCTTTCTACCATGTGGCGAAGGCAGGGATCTAGGTAGATAAGATGGCCCAGCATTCTCTGGGAGTCATGAAGTTAAACTGGAGTGAGCTCCTGGGTAATGGGAGCTGAGGTCACACTCAGGACATGGGAAAACCCCGGGAGCTAGGAAGAAGAGTCTTGGGAAAACTCATGTTCAGCAAAGCACAGAGGTTAAGCTCATAGCACACGCTGGAGGTTTTCTGCCTTGTCTTCCCCAGTCTTCAGTGAAGTCGCATTGAACACTCCTACTTACTGAGGTCGTAGTCCAGGAGTTTTTTCTGGGCTTTGGCCAGGGTTTTAAAGGATTTAAGTATTACTCCTAATGCCAGATTGATGATGGCAGTAGTGATCCATAGGATTCTCCAAGGGAATGACAAATCTTAGAAAAAGAGGGAGGCTGGGAGGGAAGAAATGAGGGCAGGAGGAAAAGGCTATGCCCTCTAGCCACTCCCCCCACCATGTGTCCAACTTGAAGGTGCTGAGCTTGCACGGATGAAGGTGAAGGAAAGTAGAATCCCCCCACCCGGTAACTGCCCAGATGCATTTACTGGGCTTCCCCATTTCACCACCACCCAGTAACTGGACTCCACAGCAGGAACCCAAATTCTTGTTTTTTTAGTTCATATTTGCATTTCTGCATTATTATGTTATCTGGTGCAATGTCCTCAGAAGCCCCACTGACTTATGAGGTGTCACCATCTCTCATCATTGGTTTTTGCTTTATCAGAGATAAAAAGTAGCCAAGAAGCCACATAGTCACCATTGGATGGGATATTTTGTCACATATAGAATGCCCCCTGCACACCCAGCCCCCACCCCCCGGGTCTGGGGCACGGACAGCCCCATTAACTGAGGTACGAGGAGCAGCCCAGCACTCTGCCTGCAGAGCTCCAGCGAGGCGTCGTTGTACGCAGGTGGGTCATTCAAGTACCACAGCCTGTTTGACCTTTGCTGGTGCTATTTTTAGCTCCTGCTAAGTTGCAAGACGTCCACCTCATCTCTGCATCCCTAACACTTGGCTCAAAGCCCGGCCCACCACACAGGGCCCATGAATTTTTGTAGAGTTTTGAATGAGGGAATGAACAAATAAGTTGAGAGAGGGTGGTATAGGAAAGTGTCTATGAATATAGAGTGGAAAATTGAGATCAGTAGCTAGAAAATGTAAGCAAGGCAAATACATCAATACTGCAGATAATTTCAGATATCTACATAATCATTTAAGGGCATTCTACTTCGCCAATATAGGCAGGGACAAACACACCCAGTAACATAAGCTTAAATTCCTGATTCTTCTCCGACAAGAAAATGATAATAATACTTAATAATAATAGTAGTAGCAGATATGAGCCCCCCCATCCACACCATCTAGAATCTCCTTCCCAAGTCCCTGAGCTCTGCCAGGACCACCCAGAGAGCTGGTCAGAGATAAACACGCCCCCACAGGACTGCTGAAGGTCGGGTTCTGCTGCTGCTCTAAAGATGTTAGCAAAGAACCAAACAGCAAATTTACTTGTACTCACTGTGTCCTGTCAGTTCTCTCATCTGCTGGGGCTTCAGCTAACAATACAATTCTTCACTTTTGAAAATCATAAGTTTCATATAACTTTGTTGCAGAAAATAACTCACACGCGGGGGAGATGGCAGAGCATGATCCTTCATTACGGGCGCGGGCTCAGAGGGGTAGAATTCCCAAATCCTGAGCAATGAGCCCAAGCTGGAGTTTCCTTTATATACTTGTTACACGGGCAGAAGGAGGAGAAAGGAGTGCAGCTGCTAAAACGGGGGTTAGTGTAGGACCCTGAGATAACTGCTTATCTGGGAACGGCTGCTGTCTGGGAACGGCTGCTGGTCAGCTCCTACCTAAGAATAGCTACTGCTCAGCTATGTCCTGTCACAACTTAGCACCTGGGAAGGGCCTCAGCGATTTTTTTTCTGTCTTCCCTGCTCCCCAGTTATGCAGATTCATAGACTGAGGCCCAAAGAAGTTGAGGTTCTATAATTACCCAGTAGTCAAGACATGGCTTTTTGCTTCCTATTCAATTTTTCCTCCAATGCCTCCCTGCTGCTTCTCAGACTTGGGAAGACTGGAAGGTGACTTTAACGTCTACATGTTCTGTTCCCCACTCCACGGGGACCTTCACTCCAGGTCCTCCCCATCCCACACAGAGCCTGGCAGGTAGATGCTCAGTCCATGGTCTTGCATTGAAATAAGTGGAATACGTGGCATCCTGATAAAGTTTCCCATGGGTGATAAGCATACCAGAACCTCGGGTTATATTTCCAAAGAGAGGACCAGCCCACATTCAGCCCAGCGAAAGGGCAAGCTTCAGGAGAGAGCTGCAGCTGGGGAAGAAACCCCAGGCCAGTTGTGATAGAAAAGAACCAGCCCATTGGAAAGGATTTTAAATGTCATAAAGAGGATCTAAATCTTATAGTCTGTGCAAATATGAAAAATTAAACTTAACGCAGCTTTAAAAGAACCCCCCACATTTCCATTGATGGCAAACAGCTTAATTTAAAGTCAATTCTAAAAGTCAACTCCGACATTGAAGTTTTCTTTTTCCCTTTGTTTAGATATTCTGACTATTCAGAATTCTTTTCTACCCTTCTTCCCACGCCTCTGCAGAGTGAGAGAAAGGAAAGGCTTCTCTGCCGCCTGGTAGTGAAGAGCTACCCACTCTGGCCGCCGCAGAGAGATCTGCTCCCTGTTGGTCTCTGGTCATCAGGCCAACCCTGGGGGCGTGACTAAAGAGTCCTTGTTGGCAGGTCATTTGGTCCACATGGTCGCTCCAGCTCCCTCCGCAAGTCCTCCACACAGCATCTCGGCCACCTCTGGGCCCCTGTTGGGAAGACACCAAGACTCTTGACATTGTCCCGTGCTGCTCTGGTCTCAAGCTCTCTCTACCCACAAACTCTCAGCTGCCCCTCTCTGCTCTCCTGATCTGTTGAAGAGCTAATCCAGGGCACATGTGTCCTTTTGTTTGCAAATCCCCTCAACCTTTCTGGTTCCCTCCCTCTCCCACTCCATTAGACCAAGTCCCAGGTACGAAAACACAGACCTTGTGGCCCCAGGCTCCTCACTGGCTCTTCTCTAATCATCTCCTCGCCACCGTCCTGAGCCCCAGCTCTCCTTTGTCCGTTATGGCTAAGGAAGAGCTTAGCAAGGATCCCTGAGTGGGACTTCAGGTTCTTGTTAGTGCAAACATGTCAGGGCTTCCAGCTTTCCTAAGCTGTGACAGGAAGCCCATGGCAAGGCCACCTCCTTAGCTGGCCTTTCCCCAGCTCCACCCCTGCCCTCATCTCAGAGAAGTCCCCATGCTCCCTACACTTCCTTTCCCAGGAGGGAATGGCGTTACCTCCTTTCCCAGGAGGGAATGGGGAGCCATTCCTGAAAGCAAAGCCTGACAGCCATGCTGGGTGTTATCGTTACCCAAGCTGGGCATTTATTTCGTGGACTGCATACACCAGGGATCTGCCTTGGAGGTCTGGTAGCTATCTTAAACATATGTATCTGGATAGAAAGTCTCCCTGTAATTAATCTGTAATCTTGAAAAGATGCTCATTCAATGGAGATCATTAACTCAGTAATATTTAGATTTTTCCCACTTTAATTCTGTGTTTATAGCCCATAATAATGAAGGACAATGAGATTGGGTGACATTTTTAACAAGACCATTAGAGTTCCGTGATCTCACTCCCAAAATGAAGGTCCCATACAGGAGAGAGTGCCTGCTCTTGCCAGAGTTACCCCAGTTTCCAGCTAAAGTATAATAGTCTCCTGATGCTTTTCACAAACAGAATGCAATCTGGCTTCCTCTATACACTTCTTAATAACTCTTCTGAAGAGATGACTGAGTCTGAACTGTTGACTCAGATGGTACCAGCTTTCCAAGAATCCTGCTTTCAGAAGTGGAAATGATGAATTGAAGAGTTAATAATCTTGATTTTTTAAATGTGTCCACCACTGAGGTCCCTGAGCTTATATACAAAGATTAAAAGACACAATTGCCTCAAAAAATAAACTGAGTAACCTGTATGTAGGCCAAGCCATCTACAATCTAGACAACCATGTAGTCCTGCACCTTAGATCCAAAGGGGGTCCAGTGAGCTCAGAGACCTAGAGTGCATGTCCTGGTGGAAGTGACAGTTTCAAGAGGGTGTGAGAGACAAGGCCAGTAGCTGCCACCTACACTTTCAAGTCAAGAAACCAACATCTTTGGGGCTGAATAGTGAGCTCAGAGACACCACTCTGTGGAAAAGTACATGCCTTCAGTTACCTAGATATGTTTTTTTTTTTACAAAAAATAGCCCAGCAGCAATAGATGAAGGTCCCCTAGGAGGAAGGCAGCCAAAGTGGGGTCTGTACTTCCAGGGAAGAGACGTTTCCAAGAACCACTGATTGACTGTTAGTGCACACCCCAGGCTTGCCTGAGAAGAGACCCCTGAAATGTCACACTTCTTAGAAAAATATTCTAGACTGTCAGTATGAAAGAGAAACTGAGGCTAACCCACTTCTACTAGGGACTCCTGAAGAGAGAAAGAGGCAAGTGCAAAAGAAACAGGAGAGAAGGAAAAGGAAGCGGGAGAAGAGGGAAGGGAGACATGGATGTGGATAGAAGCATTCAGTGAAACATCTTTCCCCAAAACGGTGGCGATGTGATGGAAATAGTGGGCGGGGAGTTAGTTCTCGTGATAACCCATGTAAATGGGATCTAGTAGGAGAGAAATTATATATGCCTAACACTTTCACTCAATGTGGGCTTTTTGGTTATTTTGGTTTGGGGGTCAGGGTCAGGGCGTTGCGCCTGCTGTTTGCTGGCACTGTGCTGGGCAGGTCCTAGAGAATATAAACATGAAATCAACTAAGCTCAGTCTCCTGGCTTTGAAGAACTCAGTATGATGAGTGAAACAGACATGGAAGGAAGTGATTACAACACAAGGAGGTGAATGCAGCTAAAGTTGTTTCACAGGGAAACATTTCCCATGGAAATATGGAGAACAGAGTGACTCACTCAGGGCCTGCATAAAGGAAGATCACTCTACATGATAGAAGAGGACAGAATTCTTCTCCCCTCATGAGACCCATCCAGTTCCATGAAGCCTCCCTGACCCTCCTTCCCTCCCCCAGTAGAATCGACCCGCTCCCCTTGCCACGTACACACCACTCCTATGTCTTTCCACACCTCGCCACACACACACTCGGCCTCCTCCTAACATGCTATAAACTCCTTTCATGCCAGGCGATGTTTTATTCACGTTTAGCACCTAGAACATTGATGTAGAATATTGTGTGTCAGACTGTTGGTTGCTAATAAGTATTTATTGGATGGATGGATGGGAGAGAGGAAGGGAGGAAGGAAGGGAGAAAAGAAGGAAGGGAGGAAGGAAGGGAAGAGTAAGGGGAAATAAATTCCTTAAACTTCTAGAACTTATTTCTATAACCTCCATCATTCTCCTGTACTTGGCCACCTCCCAATCACCCCTTCTCCAGGAGTATTTCCCCCAATTCTCTTCTAATTCTCCTCCTCCCCATCTATCCCTTCCTATCCCTTTTCATCTTTTTCTCCACCATTCTCTTCTCCAATTTCCCATTGCTTTTGTGGTGTCAGAGGTCTGATATGGATCATGACAACAATGAAGTGAAGAAAGGAGGAGCCAAGTGTAACGTTTTTCCAAGGCGGCCTGTCTTCGTACTTTTAGGTCAATGAGGAGCAAAGAAGAACCAGACCCAGCACCTCCACAGCCTTACTCTTTGGGGCCTGTGGCAGTGGGTAGGCTACAGTATCCAAGGATCATGTGGCCAATCTGTTTCGAGAGTTTCCAGAACAAAGCAAGAGTCATGGAGACACCACGGTCTGCTCATAAAGACACCACACGGTGACCTCCAACTGCAGACTCCGGAGGGATCACCTGTGCCAGCCTCCTCGCATTACAGCTTAGGAAACCCAGGCACCAGAGAAATTAAGTGACTTGCCCAAGGTCACACAGCAAGTCACAGCTGAGCCAAACCCAGATCCCCGGTCTCCTGACAACTAGTCCAGTGTTTTTCTCACGATAATGCATCGCCTCTCACTCCGGTGATACATTTCCTGCGTGCCTGGATTGATGCAGCCGACACGCGCACACGCACGGGGAGTCATTCTTCCTGCCGAGAAATGCATCCAGTTATGGAGAGGAAGGTGACAGCTGTTTAATAGCAGCTCTGTGGGATGGTTCTGGACTTAGAATGTGGAATATTATCTCCCACTAATGCGTTAGAGGAGACACAGGGAAACAGAATGTAATTATCCAAATGGCTGTTTTTCCCGGATACTAAAACTAATTCTCCCGTCCTGGTGAATAATGCTGAGGGGTCTTTAACAATTAGTTTATGCCCCGTCTGAAAGCTGTCACAGCTCCTAATAGCACAGGGACCTGTTTTGCCAATCAGGGGTATCGATCTGAGACTGCCTCGGAGATCAGCCTGCAGGTTCATCAATTTCCTGAGGGCTCCAGAGAGAGTCTCTCCAACAAAGGGGATCCGGGGAGACGTCGCTGCTCAGTTCCTGATGGCACGGCCTCCGGGAGCCTCCCTCCAATATGGCCATTCTCCTCCACTTCCTTTTGTCTTCCTGCGAGCCCACGGCAGCCTGTTTGGCTCCAGGCCCCAGTGACGGGGGTGCACAGGGAGTAGGGATTTAGAGAAACCCTCTATTCTTAGAAGAACCCAGACAAGTGGGCTTCCTACCACC